CAGTGCCCCGAATATGTGTCTTTCTGTCGGTTCTATGACGTTTTGGTCGGTTCTGACCCATGTCTGTTTTTTCTTTTTTTTTCAGAATTACCTCCCGAATTACAACACAAATGAACTTCCTGGGAATGGACAGCTAAGGATGATCATGGATCCTATACAGGAGTACTTCCCAGTGAAAGTCACTATGAAGTCAAAGATCGAGGTCCTGGAGGTAATATGGCAGAATTTAGACCCTGAAACCGAAATGCCAATTTTCAAGGAATCTGCCTTGGGACATTTGATTTCGATGTCTAAATATATGATCTATTTTGGAGTGTTGACACATTATCTACTTCTGAGGCAGATAGAAACAGAAAAGAAACATGAGTTGTGGTTCATGGTTAATGGAAAGCCAACTCGGTTCGGAATGAGGGAATTTGCCTTAATCACAGGATTGAACTGCGGAGAATTCCCAAAGCCGGATGTGTTGTTGAAAGTTTCAAAGAATCTAAGATTGTTGGAGCATTTTAAGACCCAAGTAATACTTGTTGCTGATTTAAAGAAACTGCTCACAAAAAACAAGATAAAAAGTAGCGATAAAGCAAAGATCGCTATCATTTACCTTTTAGCACAAGTATTACTATCTGGGGACGAGAAGAAGACTGTCCCACTGGAATGGTTGTCATACGTCGACGATTTAGATTTCTTTAACAGCTATCCATGGGGCAGGGTGTCTTTTGAATGCACTCTGCGGTCGTTGAGGAAGAACCTAAGAGAGAAATTTCAGAAATAGGTTCGGAAAGGAGGTCATAAGAGCATCAAGGAAACCTACTCAATATGCGGGTTTCCTTGGATCTTCCAGGTATGTCGTACAGTTATATGCATAATTTTTAATCATGCCCTTATAGTAAATAATACATAGTTTTCCAACCATGGCATAATTTTTAACGCAGGTTTGGGCATTCGAAACTTTTTCAACCATCGGCGCCACGTTTGCAAAGATGGTTGATGGACGTCTTCCCAGAATCCTCAAATGGGAGGCACGTCGGGTTTTATTGGTCGAGATTGGACAGATAGACGACCTCATGCAAAGTGGTGAGGTAAGAGTTTGAATACAATGTGTTTATAGGTTTTTTTTTTCTATGTGTTTCCACCTAAATAATCATTTAATGTATGTTTTTTTAGTATATAGGGAATGGTCGTACCAATTCTTTATCCCACTAAGGAGGAATTGAGTAGTATGAGCATGAGATTGTATCTGCGTTAGGTCGATCAAGAAGATGCAGAGATTGACCAGCTTGCATCATTTTTGGACTATGGTGCAAGAATGGTCCATGTCCAGCAACCGAAGCCTCCCAAACAACTTTCCCAACAACAACAACAACAACCTCGTCTGCAAGATGGTATGTCTATTGACCGCATTCTTGACATACTCTATCAGAGGATGGTATAGTACAATGGTAGACATTTTGAAGCCATCAACAAGAGGTTAGACTCACTTGACCAATTAGTTAGAGAAATAAAGGTTGAAATAACATGTCTAGCAAAACAACAGCTACAGCCACAGCCAGAGCCTAAGCCTGAGGAACAACTTGAGCCACAGGTTCAGCCAGAGCCTGCGGACATCGGTGCGTCACAGGTTCATCCAGAGCCTGAGGACATCGGTGAGCCACAAGTTCAGCTAGTGCCTGAGGAACAACAGATGCGACAGGTTGAGCCAGAGCCGGAGTTTGAATCCAAGAATGAAAAGCGACTTAAAAGACCCAGCAAGTATTCTGAGTCGCCTTACACAGATCCCCTGCGTAAGGTGATGAAGAAGATGTGGACTTATAAAGATACCGTCGAGGCCTTCAAAAAGTGGTTGGATGATACGAGTACAGACTCTGAGCTGATAGAGTGTGGTTTTGGTGATTGGAGGAAGGACTTCTTCCAGATCCTCTTGAAGCCAGGTGTTTGGTTGTTCAATGATGTAAGTAATGACAACATAATTTCTAAAATTATAGTCTTGTTTTTTATACCATTATCATTATACTGAATTTATTTTTTATGACTAACAGCAAATTGACAAGGCATGGGGTCTCTATCTATGAGAAGGTCACAGACCAACGAAGGAGAGTTTAATAACGATATTATCATCCTAAATGATGTATTTTGCCAGAAATTGAGAGGGCGATTAACCGCCAACAAATCCCGCTTGGCAAAGTATACATTTGACACCGATCTGGATGAATATGTCCGTGGAGAAAAGCGCATAATTAGAAAGAAATGGGATGGCACGCAAGGCTTCACTATGGCTCTTAACATCGAGCATAAGCATTGGGTTGCGCTTTATGTTGATTTATCTGAAATCAACATAAAGGTGTATGACTCAACTGTTTTAATGTACAGAGATCAACAGATGCAAAAATACATGGAGCCTATCTCTATCATGATGCCCAAGTTCTTAAAGTACACAGGTTTATTTAACCATCTGGGCGATAAACTTGACAGTGCATGGCCAATCATTCGTCCTAAGAACTTGGTCAACAACCGAAGAACAAGTGACTGCGGACTTTTCACATATAAATTTGTCAAATACCTTGTCTGCAAAATCCCGTTAGAAGGACTTGCTAAAGAGCTAGTAGAAATGTACCAGTTGGAACTTGCGGCCTCCATTTAGAGCGAGTACAAGCTTAAAAGGCCCGTATAAAATGTTGTTTTGCTTGTTGTAAAATGTATACCAAATTGTTGTGTTGCTTGTAACTGTTATTCAATAGGTTGTAAAATGTATTCAGCAAGTTATTATGGCTTTGGGGAAGCTTATATTTATGGGAAAATGCTGCCCAAATTTTTATGATGATGTTTTTTTTTTTTTTTTGTAAAACTTCGAACCAGTCCCACAAATGGGCGCGCGCAGGGGTGACACAGGCGCGCGCGCGGGGTGGCGCTTGTGCGTGCGGAGGGGGGGCACGAGCGCGCGTGCAGGGTGGCACTCACGCACTTGAGGGGGGCACTGGCGACTAGAACCAACTACACATAGCATGAACAGACCAGAACATACCAAACAGACTAAGAACTGACCACAGACCAGAACGAACCAGAACCGACCGAAATCTCTAAGAACATACCAGAACCGACCGAACAGACCAAGAACAGACCATAACCGACCAAACAGACCAAGAACAGACCAGAACCGACCGAGAACAGACCAATAACAAACTCTAATAAAACATTAAAAACATACATTTTTACATATTTTTTTGACTTTTTGGGTATTAATAAACATTGTAATTTATAAAAGAGAAAAAAAATTGATTAAAAAAGAAAAAACCTAGAACAGACCAAGAACAGACCAAGATGGTTCTTGTTCTGTTCTTGGTCTGTTCTAGGTTTTTTCTTTTTTAACCAATTTTTTGTCTCTTTTATAAATTACAATGTTTATTAATACCCAAAAAGACAAAAAAGTTTGTAAAAATGTATTTTTTTTAATGTTTTATTAGAGTTTATTCTTGGTCTGTTCTATGTTTTTTTTTAATCAATATTTTTTCTCTTTTATAAATTACAATGTTTATTAATACCCAAAAAGTCAAAAAAATATGTAAAAATGTATGTTTTTTAATGTTTTATTAGAGTTTGTTCTTGGTCTGTTCTTGGTCGGTTCTGGTCTGTTCTTGGTCTGTTCGGGCGGTTCTGGTCTGTTCTTAGAGATTTCGGTCGGTTCTGGTCTGTGGTCGGTTCTTAGTCTGTTTGGTCTGTTCTGGTCTATTCATGCTATGTGTAGTCGATTCTGGTCGCCAGTGCTCCCCCTCGCGCGCACGAGTGCCACCCCGCGCGCGCCCATCTGTGAGACTGGTTCGAAGTTTTACAAAAAAAAAAAAACATCATCATAAAAATTTGGGCAGCATTTCCCCATAAATATAAGCTTCCGCAAAGCCATAATAACCTGCTGAATACATTTTACAATATGTTGAATATAATAAGTGTAAATACATTGTAACGCCAAAATTTATAAATCATGAGTACATCGGTGCGTTTTTACATTTCTTCTGATAGTGTCCATATTGCCCACACCTAGCACATCGATTCTGTCTTCGTGTGAACTCACCTATGCTGGGAATGCGTTTTTGCTTTGGCCTACCCCTCTTTGGTACAACTCGCGGTGGAAGAAGGTGAACTTCCTTTACGTGATTCGGAATATCCCATTGCGAAGTATCCGGCACAGGATAGATTGTCTCAGCATACGCAAGAGCCCAAACTTCTGTCCTGTAGTATTTTGAGCATAAATCATAGAGTGACATTCTTGCTTCTCTACAACATGATATTGCATGCTCGCATGGTATCTGCTCAAGGTCGAACACACGACAAGTGCAACTCCTCGCTTCAATGTTGACAATTGCAGTGGCCTCTCCACCTGTCACTTGGAAGTCAACAGTATTAAGTCTTGTGGCCGTTAGAAATCCTGCTTTGTTGTGCCTCTCAGGAAGAGTTTTTTCCACACTTGGCATTAATAATGTTTTAGTTTTAGAAGCTTCTACCCTCTTGTTATTAAACCACTCTGACATCTTCGCTTGTATAAAATTAAAGAAGGCAATGACAGGGTAATCTCGAACATCTTTGAGCATTGCATTAACTGACTCAGACATGTTTGTGGTCATAATATTATATCGATTTCCTTTAAAATGAGCACGATACCACATTTCAAAACGAACTTGCTCCTGTAGGTATCTAGCAATACTGGGATATCTTGCAGACAACTCATCAAACAAGACAGAAAACTCGTCAATGCGGTAGGCCTCAGCGGTTTTAAAGAACAATGGCAGAACACCACTACATCTAAAATTACTCTTGATGTTTTGAGACACATACCATGTGCAACAACCGTGATGTGCTAATGTATAAATTGTAGACAATGCATTACTTATGCTTTGATTCCTATCAGAAATAAAAATTAATTCCTCAAAATCAGTGACAACTTCCTTTAAGTTCGAGAAGAACCATGTCCAGGATGTATCATTCTCTGAGTCTACAATGGCCCATGCGATGGGATAACAATGACGTTCATTATCCTGTGCAGTGGCAACTAACAACGTACCTCTGAATTTTCCCTTCAACCACGTTCCATCAACACTGATAACTTTTCTCATGCAACCAAAACCTCGTATACAAGGTCCATATGCTAGGAAAAGATAGATAAAACGGTTATGTTCATCAAAATAAATATTGGTGATACTGTCGTGATTAGTAAGAGACACCATATGAAAGTATGATGGGAGCTTAGTGAAGCTTACTTCGGCCGTACCTCTTACAAGTTGAAGTGCATACTCACGAGCCTTCCATCCTTTGTAATAATTGAAGTCCGTCCCGAATTCGTCATGAGCATATTTCTGAATTGATTTGGGAACCGGACCCTGTTTGACGCCTATAAATTGGTTTTTCATGCAACTTCCAATAACGGAGTACGTTGCTTGCCTATGCTTCGCCGAACGCTTTTCTAATGAGCAAGAGTGAACACCATTATAGTTGCGGATTACAAACATGTTCGATAGTCTCAGTTTGCAGGCTCGGATACACCACACACATTTCGGATCCACATACTCTACTACAAGCATGTCTTTATTTGATTTTGTTGTTCGAAACTCAAACTTCCCCTTCAAAGCTATTAAATGCAGCTTTTCCTTCAAATCATTATTACTTGTAAAGTACTGACCAACTTCTAAACTAGATCCGTCATTGAAGGTAGATCCATGAGATTATCCAAACTCAGTTTGGTTGATACAAACTAAAGGACCAGCAACTTCTACTTCGTTTAAAATGGCAAGTGGTTGTGGCTCTAGCTATGGCTGTGACTCTGATTGTGGTTGTGACTGTGGTGGAATATCATTATGAGTCGAAAACTCATTTGTAGATACATTACCCATAAAATCACGATCAAAAAAATCATCATGCAAAGGATTTCTCCTAATTTTGACTCCATCAATATGTTCTTCTGGATTCATAAACTTCCGATCCACTATCACGTGTAGCGGTACCTCGTGGGCTATATCCCTGAAGAATAACAAATCATCATTGTCTTTTATTACAACGGGCAACGATTTCTGTTTCAAATTCGGTACCCACGATAACTACAAAGAATGTTTTTGTCCATCAATTCCACATTTTCTACAAATCTTATCAACGAAGGTTTCGAGAGTATCATTCTCATCCATATATATGCCAATTAAATTACAATCTGTATGCCACACCTAACAATTTTTAGTCTCATCCCATTTTCCTCCAATGTCAAAAAAAATCCTCCACTGAGCCATTATTTAGATTTTAAAACTGCAAAAATTTAATCAAGATAATAATATGTCATTAAACCAAACCAAATATCCCACGAACAGACTAAGAACATACCATATAATGAGAACAGACAAAGAACATACCATAAAATAAGAACAACCCAAGAACAGACTAAGAACCGACTACGCAATAAGAACAGACTAAAAACTGACTGTGCAATAAGAACATACCAACAGACCATGAACAGACTAAGAACTGACCGTGCAATAAGAACAGACCAATAACAGACCACAAACCGACCATGTTATAAGAACATACTAAGAACAGACCACGAACCGACCATGTAATGAGAACAGATGTCACGCCCCCCAAACGGGGTGGGTGACGTGGAGCTCGATTAGGGATTAATAAAGCAGATTCCCAGACCGGGCCCCACACTTAACTGCATTAAAATATAACTGAATTACATAATCCAGGAGCCTCTATCCAGGAGCCTCTGACACACAGGGCTCCACCCAACAAGACATACAGTATCGTACATACATGCTCATGTAATTAATCATTACAACAGACATCAACCACAGTCTAGTAAATTCAATATTAAATAGGTTTACATAATTTCTCAAATTCCTTACATTTGTTCAAGAGGATAAACTCAATCCTCACTTGATCCAACAGTAGCAACTCCAGCTACCCTGCACCGCTCCTCGAGTCTCCTGGGAGGGGTTTAACATTTAAAACATAAAACGTGAGCGAAAGGCCCAGTAGGATATAATTTGAAATATTTAAAATAAATGAGCGCATAAATAAATAATTGAATACATAAATAAAATAAGACATTCAGTCCCGACAGAACAGCCGGAACCTCACATCCTTTTTCTCAAAGGAAATATAACTGAAAACAACCATGTTACAGGCTTCAGCAAGTAATTAGTACAAATTACTTACCTAACCAAGTGCCTCACCTACCCGGACCGAGTTTCGGGTTCTGCCCACGAGGATGCACTCTCCGCATCCTATCTAGGCTTACAGCAATAGACTCTATTACCAGTTCACAAGATCTCTTTGCTTAAGAAATCATTCATTAACATTTTGAAATCGTTAATACGACCCCACGAACTACTCAAGCTGCGGGCCCCATGACTGGACAAACCATGAGGTTCCATGACTAAACAAGCCATGGTTTTCAAAGCATTTTCTTTCACAAATCAATCCCTTTCTTTAAAACATTTTCAAGGCCAAAATCCTTTTTGAAAACAGGCTCACAAGGAAAAGGGATAGAAATCCTACCTCGCACAATCAAACCTGGGACTAGCGTTGCCTTTTCCGGCTTCCGCTTCCTCAAGCCCCTTCAGTCTGAATCCTCAGCGATCACTGATACAAGATAACACTTTAGGATCAATTCTCATTCCTAAAGAAATCCAATCTCACTTATGTACCCAGATTTTCAATTAGTGTGCCCTAATCCATTTTCATGTTTCAAATTCCATTCCAAGGGTTTTAATATCAAATCAGGGATTAAAGATGTTAATCCTTTCATCCCAAGTCCCCAAATGAAGCTAATTTGGGTTCTCCCCGAAAACAGGGGTCAAAACAACACTTTTCAGGCCAAACAGGGTCAAACCCGTGTCCACCGGTCAACCGGTGACAGAGCAGTACAACACTACCGGTCGACCAGTAAGGTGCACACCGGTCGACCGGCCAGCCTGCAATCCGGTCGACGAAGCTCGCGGAAATCAGTCTAAAAACCTGCAAATCTAGTCCCAAATCCAAATATTTCAAAGGGAAACCACTAGATCCGGGTTCTAGGTCCTAAAACAAGTCCAAAGAACCCAAGATCTCCAATTTCTACTCTAGTTTTACTCAAAATCATCAAAAATCCGGTTTAAACCAAAATAAGTTTTCAAATCCGAAAAACATAGATTCAAGAGAGGTTCTTTCAGTAATCTTACCTCGAATCCTTCTCTTGACGTTGAAAACTCTTTGAAATCACTCTTGGTTCGAATCCGGTTTTGATTTGAGACACAAATGGGAGAGAGAGAGAGGGAGAGAGAGAGCACGGAAGAGAGAGAGAGAGAGTGAATGCACGGGAAGGAAGAGAAAAGGAAAAGAAAAAGAAGAAAAGGAAAGAAAAAACATATGCCAAAATATTTAAAATGACAGTCCAGAAATGCGCCCATACACACTTCCGGTTTAAAAATAAAATTACTCAGAATATTTAAATACCTTGGAATGATTTAAATTTACACATGTCAGAAACATTTATTTATTAATAATCAATTAATAAATTCAGATTAGGCACACTAATAATCTCAATTACCTTAATTAATCTCAATTAATTCTTCAGGGTGTTACAACAGACTAAGAACTGACTATGTTATAAGAACAGACCACGAACCGACCATGTTATAAGAACATACCATGAACAGACCACAAACCGACCATGTATAAGAACAGACCAAGAACCGACCATGTATAAGAACAGACTAAGAACAGACCACGAACCGACCTAGAACAAACCTTTTTTTTTCTAAACCCAGCAGATCGTCATCATATCAGACAATGTAAACTGGTCTTTTAACATGTAAAATTATTATTTTAATGGATTTTTAACATTTTTAACTACATTCTCATCTTAAAAACATATGAACAACAACGAAAAACACCATGAGAGATATAGAAAATGAAAGACTTACTTAGTAGCTGATTAACGCCCAAAAGTGATATTCACAAGCGGTCAATTGTAGCACAGAAGGGCGGTCGTATCCTCAGAGAGATAAGAAAATAACAAGAATGATTAACAGAATAAGAGCGTTAGAGAAAAGTGAATTAAAGAAAAATGATAGTTTTTGAGATTTTTGTTGCAAATAAACTAAAAAGGAGAAAACCTGTATGAAGAAAACGGTAAGGTGTCGAGAATCCCTAATGCTTCGTTCACCAATTCAAGTTTTGATTCACAAAATAAAATAATTGAATAAATTATATCTTTATGTTGGCTCAGAAAATATTATTATTACAAGTTATCTAAAATCGACAATATATCAATCTGACAATATTACAGTAAAAGACAATTTATAAAATAATTTGAATAACAAAACATTGTGTGACATAATTACATAAGAAAAGCGTGACTGAACTTATATAAAAATTGGCACACAATATTTTGAAAAGTAATAGAAAAATAGATGAGATTTAATTTATTCAGATGTTAAACTTTACAACACAAGGAATCAAAACCCCAAATTGGGTCGCTCAACAGAAGTTCATCTTTAACCTCACCAAGAAAGCTCTAGCCTATCTTGCAAAACATTCTCACAAGTTCTAAAGAGAAAATATGAGACTGACAGCAAGATGACAGAAAACTGAATATTAAAAGCTCCCCAAAACCTTAGGCCAACCCCTCTATTTATAGTGTTCAGAGGTTGCGTGTCAAATAAGGAAATAAATTATAAAACTAGAAAATTACAAAAGAAAAGGAAACAAAATAAAATTACACAAAAATTAGGAGAAATCATATATTTGATTTGGGAAGAAATCTGGAAATTTGCTCTGATTTTTGGGGAAGGAATTCGGATTTAGCGCCAAGGGGACACGTGTCGCAACGTGATTGGAAGTGAGGAGGAAAAACGCCACGTGTCGCGGGCGGATTGGGCAAACGGAGTTGGCGATGGTCAGACAAGGGACAAGGTTGACAGCTGGCGCGGCTTCATTGGGGAATCAGACTTGCATTGCAGACGCGGGACCCACGCGGGAGAAACAGAAACGCGCTGGAGAACGCGCGTGCGTGGGACGCGCTCCCTGAGGTACCGCGTGCTGTTGACGCGCGAGGCGCACGATGGTGGGAGAAACGGGCGCGAATTTCCGCGCTGACTATGCAGTGGCTTGGCTCGGCTCGGCTGAAGCAGCTCTCCCTCTGGCTCGTGTGGCTCGGCTGAAAGGCTTAAAAATATGGCTTTCATGGCTTCTTTTTGTGTAGCTTTTTACACTGCTTTCATCAGTTTATAATTAAGCAAAAACTAGACAAATTCCAATTAAAAATATTATGAATAAAAATAATGGAATTGCTTAATTAAAGCGTAAATATTTTAATATTATATAAATCAAAAGCAGTATTTAGGGTGCATTTTCATGCACTAATCACAACCCCCAACCAGCTTATTACTAGTCTCTAGCAATCCAAGCGTAAGAGAAATCATGTCACAAAGAAAATCTAAGTCTCAACTCGCTTAGTCACCTGAGTATTTCAAACACACTG